ACATGTAATACCGAACACACAACCAATTACCAGTGTTCAGTGATTTTATCCACTCTGCCGATGGTAGACCGTTTTCAGGTAGTAAAAACGGAAACAATCACATTATATCAGTATATATATACTGTATATAGGCCTATTTATATCATTCTAGGAATAATTATAGAAAGCGACACTTCCAATAAACCTATTTATTAAAACGACAAACGACAACAATTGTAAGAATAATGGGTGTGTTTCCTGCTAATGTAACAGCTTTAATAGAACTGGATAAACAATGTCGATTTCGGAGACCATTAGATTTTGGTCGCACATGACTCAAACTTTTGTAATTAGTGCGAGCAAAACGAGTATGCAATTTGGGATCCAGTCAAACACTGATGAATCCTCCAGCAAGAAGACGATGCTAAGTCGGCAACACACAAAAATGGTAAACCATAATATTTATTTCCATTACAAAAGGAAATATATAAACGTATTTTTGATAGAAATACAGTATTTTACTAGAATATGGATCGGTAGTTTGGTAGAATTAGTCAAAAATTGATAGACTGGCAACTCTGCATTGAATACTGGTAGTTAGTCGTGGATTCGACAAGAGTCTAGTTCCCTGGTAAATTTTAGTTCTAAAATATGCCGCTATGGCGAATCGCGACAACTGGATTTGTCAGTTTTGGGTTGTAGTTACAAGCCTCATCATTTGTTTATCATACTGTCAGCGTTGTTGAACTCGTTATACGTTAAATAAAATGGAATGTAGTTCGTGTGGTTTAAAATATACCGGTAGCCTACAATACTTGTGTTTTCTATTCATAATTATAAATTATAAATGTTTTGTTCGAAAAATTATTAGTTAAAAGTGAAAATAAAATAAATTTTATTCTATAAAAAATTAATATTGTAAGATTATAAGATGGAATTATGAATAAAACATAGAGGGACATAACATTTATGATCTATGACAGTTATAATATATGGAACTATTAGGCTTAATGTTCGTTTCTGAACCACTCATTATAATGTATTGTACTGTACAGTACTTAACAGTATTTTCTACTTTGTGTTTCTGTTTCTATTCCTTAAAATCAGCAAATGAATTAAATGTCTGAATATTATTAAATATAGTAACGTCATTTATCTTGCCGAAATGTGACAATATTTCTTCTTTTTTCTGATATTCAAGTAAATACAAACTACATTTAAATAATTTTATAACTTTATTCATTCCTTCTTTTTATGCTTGTCTTTTATATGACTGCTTAAACTTTGCTTATACTTGTACTTTAAATTGCATATACTGCCTTCCCTTTTCAACAAAGACGACGAAACACTGAAACAAAGACAAATCCAGTTGTCGCGATTGGAGCTGTTTGTCGTAACGGCATAATTTAAAACTAATATTTATTTGGGATCTAGACTCTTGCATCAAAACTCGAATTGAATTTGTATGCTATGAATGTCTAACATCGTTATATACTATAGTCTGTCAATGGAAAGAATCGAGTTGAGAGAAACGTTACGGGTGATGCCCTTCTGTTAAACCAATCAGCATATTCTCTAATGATGTCAGCACTTTTCGCTTAATATGTCAGGTAATATGCGAATTTTATTTTTTCTCACTAGATGGCAGCACGATTTTTCCGTTAATTGCGTTAATTTTTTTTTAAAGTATGCATTAACTGTAAAGAATCATGCATTTAACAACTACTTTTGTTCTATTTTTATTTACGAGATGATATATAATAATTGTTTTATTATAAGTTTAGATATAAGTTTGACTTGACTGCTCTTTACCAGTATTTTTTATATCAATCTGACAGCGAAAAGGGATCTTCATCTTCGTTATCAGAAGAGTCGTTACAAATTGTTCTACAACGTTGTCCAGTCGGCTAGTGGATTCCCTATATTCTTCAATAACTTTTTTCTACGTGATGAATTTCTGCTATCCAATTTTCTTTAGTTATTGTTTCAAAATTGTCGTTCACTTTTTTTTACATCCTCCAATTTGAAAGTGGTGTTATGTCGAGCGACGAATAATTTTAACTGAGATCTTATTAATTCAATGAAATGGTTAATTCAACGCAATGATAGGGAGGCAAGCGAACTTCTGTTTGGATGCTACCTTTTCATCAATCTCGTAGTTTATCCTGGAGTTTTATGCATATTAATTACTGTATTTCGTAAAGCTCAGCTCTGTACGGTTGATCAGAAAATAAAATTATATGTTGAATTAGCCAGCCTATCATTTTTTATTTTCGACTATTATGACGACTGTAATATGGTCCATAAAAATGTATGATTTTTCTGGAATGTTAAGAATAAATTGATTTTTAAACCATTCAGAAAAAGATCCGCATCCATGTCTTTCTGATACTCTGAATCATTGTTTTTAGAAACGAAAGCAAACAGGGCGTTGGAAATAAAACCATTTTCATTTCAGGCATAAAGAATTATCAATCGTCTGCCTTTTCCAATCAGGACTTTCAAATTAGTAGTACTGTCTTGCCAGCATTTTGATACAGTGTGATGCTTGTTTACCCGCGTGTCATCTAAATATATTTAGGACCGGCTTTCATCCACAGTCCGACTCCACTTGAGAATGATACGACCCGTCTACCTCATCACCTAATTGACCTTTAATTTAATTGACCATTAAAATTTGATAGCACCATTCCAATTATACACAAATTTTCCTGCAAACTTTCAGAAATTTTCGACAAAAATACAGGAGTTATTAAATTTCAAAGAGGGTGAACAAAATCGTGCTCCCAATACTAACATCCCCACATTCAGAAATACCTCAATTTTTTTTTCTTTCTTTTTTTTGCATTTCTCGATGTTTCCAGGTCCCTTGAATGTAAAAATCTTTGGGGGATCATTATTTGACCGATCGCAATACTATCCCTCTGTTTATATTAAGCCTGAGCCACACCTGCAATCCAGATATGGTGCGAAATTTAGCCTAAATTTCGATATGCTTACTACCGTAATGAGTTTAAAAATGAATTGATTCGAGGTCCCCTGTTGGTTGAGGCCCGGCAATTGGCCTTTTTGCCTGTAGGATGACGCACTACAGGGCAAAAACAGTAAAATTACGAACGACCCACCGAGAAATCAAGAATTTTCCAGTAGGTCTGTCCACCACTTGAGTATCCTTCCTCTGTTCCGTAACGGACTCACTCGTTACGAAACAGTGAAACGGATAATTACGAACGAACGAAATCATATTGTGGGAACCTACTTTGACACCTAAGTAAAAGCACGTTTTCGATGGAAAGTGCTCCCAAAAACTAACAATTTTGGCAGATCTCCTTCGTGTTATTCTATCAGTCCAATGCTTTTGCATTGTTAAATAAAATGTTTAAATGAATAACTGCTTTGAATTAAAAACTGTAAACTCTGCAATAAAAGGGACTAAATATGATAGTACTTTCGGGGAATGTATTCTACATATGTAGAAACTCAACTGTGTTTATTTCGATGTCTATCTCCTCTCTGAATGTTATTATCGATATTTGTTTTCGTGTTTTTAGGCTACTTGTTAACTATATAAGCCTAATTAATATTAGAGATGGACAAAAATCACTTTTCTCGAATTTGATTATTAATCAGCTTTCGAATACTCGAACACCCTTACTTTTTAGTGAACTTAATCACATTATCTATTCTCTCTACGTTGTACAGTACCGTACTTAGATAAAAATCATCACATTTTTTCAGTTACAAAAAAATAAAAAATAAAATAATATAGAAACGGCGACATCGGGAACCGATAATTCGTTATTAAATTTTTGTTTGGTTTTGGTTTTATTAGTATTAATATATGGCAACGCGACACACGGCGATATGCCGAGGGAAAAATGCCTCCCGGGAGGTCTTTTATGGGAGAACAGTTTCCGGAAATACGAAAAATTTCACGTTGGTGAGGCTGAAACCCACGACCAACTACTAATATTCAGTGGTTTTATCACTGAATATTGGTAGTTGGTGGCGTAAATTTTTGAACAAGTAGTGAAACTTTCCTATTAGGCCTATATCTTATTTAATTAAGTAATAAATATTAAATAAATTATTAACTTGTTTTATTTACTTCAATATATGAATAAATTAATAATGTAGAAAGAAGTAAAAAATTAAAGGAATTTCCTAAATTCCAAGAAATAAAACTAAAACTTTTGACCTTCGAAGTAACTCACTGTACAAACAACAAAAATTTTTACTCCAACTACTCGAACCGCGCCCCGAAAAGTTGGGAGGGTTTCGTTATTGTCCGATCATTCGATCTTTGATTAGAAAATTTAGTACATGGTTATCTGGAATTTGCCTCTTTTCTCCTGCAAACACATTTAAGACACTAGGAGTAGACGTACTGTACCAAATATTTGTAAAAGCTTTTACTCAAAACATCGCAAATTATTTACCATTGCGCATACTATCACATCCGGGATTAAAACAAGAAAACTTTACTCTTACAAAAGGCAAAAAGAAAATATAAAAGAGTTAAAATAGTTTTGCAGCCAGCGATACATCCAGCTGTAATATTTGTATGGGTAAATATTTTAGGTTTACTATTTTATTTATTAAAAAAACGCAATTGTCTTTTTTAAATTTGACGCGCCATAAGATTCGGGTCCGCAGTTCTCTCTAATAAACGATGTTATGTCACATTAATGGCGAGTTTGGGATTGGTTCAATGCTTTCGAAAAGCCCAATTCTTTCTTTTGAATTTGATTTGGCGAAAAAAGTTGGGTAAACGTCACATTACGAACCTCCCAAGAATCTCGAGGGACGAATAAATCCTTTCGAGGTTAAGCCAAGAAATTCATGGCAAAAAAAACCCCTTCATTCGATTTGCTATATTCCAAATTTTAACTTTTGTATTAACTGATGATCCAATTCACTAATTAAATTTATATTGCAATTTTGGTATCTTCCATGAAACTTCGTCTTTTATATACAAAAATACTTTATTTAAATATTAAAACACGAAACTGTATCCAAACATCCCGGAACATTGACCGGTTATACGCGGGTTACATGAGCCGGAAGGCGCTCTGAAAAGAGGTTCGGCAGTACTGGTTGAGAGAACGTGGCTCGTTCTCTGCTTGTTAAGGTATGGGAACAACGACACACTCCTATAAACTGACGTGCCGTCTTTTCTATCCCTTTTTTCGGTCGCGCCATTCTGCTCAATAAGCCGGAGTGGCGCGGCCCAAGCTAATAAATTACATAAGTTAATAAATTATTCTTAAAACGGAAATGGAATACCGGACGGCTTCTCTCCCGGTTCTGTCTCCACCAAAGCAATCGGGGACGGAATCTTTACCGTTTCCGGTATTTACTTCGTTAAAACTTTCAACTAGAATCGGACGCCCCGTTCAAGCGGTGGACGAAGCTCTGTCGACATCTTTAACACCGGACGGCACTTCTCGTCGTCGGTCCGGAACGCTCTCCGGACGTCGACCAGCTTTTCTGCGACGATGATGCGCGCGACGGTCTCCCTCTCGTCTTCCTGTCTCCCCCGAAACTCTTCTTCGTTTGATCTCTCGTCTCCTTCGACACGATTCGGTCGAACGTTCGTCTTCCGAACTTCCCAATCGCGTTCCTTCTTTCGCTCCTCGTCCGCGTCTTTCCCTTGGATCCCGGACCGAACCGGAGGATGCGTCGTCCTTCCTTTTGTCTGCCGCGCGACCATCCCGTTTTCGTTCGGCGTCGCGACAGACGTGTCGCCAGCCGACGTTTCGGAAGTGTCGCGAAGCGTCGAAGCCTCTTCCACTTCTTCCCGCCGCCGCCACTGCTCCGGAGCGTCGGTGGAGGGAACGCGAGGCGGGCGAACGACGACAGCGAGCATCTAAAGAATCTTCGGTCATGTCCGAAGAAGACGAAGGAGAAAGAGCATCGGAATCCGGCGTCAAACATCCACCACCGCTTCCTGACCGACGATCGTCTTCCTGCAGAACGTCACTCTTGGACCCTTCGGAAGACATCGACTCGACTTCGGTCAGATCGGTTTTTTGAGACTCTCCTCTCTCCGGCTCTTCCTCTGCCACATTTTCCGTCTTGGCTTCCGGTTTCGTATTCTCGGAAGACGGATGATCTTCTTCCGGAAGACCCATCGACTCCTCGCATTTCTTCGAATTATCATTCCCCTCTGCCGGAACCGTAAGGTCGGGATCCGTATTCGGAAGGTCTTCTTCGATTCGAAAAGGAGCCGGGGAATGTTCCGCCTTCAATCTTCTGCAGGAGAGGGAGGCCGACGCCTCCTCGTTCCGGAAACTGAATTTTCTGACCAATCGGCCCAGTCGGCGGGCGGGGCCTTCGCTCTTTTTCAGGGTCCAGTTGTCGCCGTCGGCAGGGACAGGTCCTGCCTCCGATCGCCTACGCAGTCCGTCCAAACCACTCCTCACTTCTCTCCACAATCGACCGAAGCTCCGCCCATTCCCTTCCGTTCTTTGCTCGAAAGCGGGAACCGAAGGGGCGGAGAGTTTACGTGCCACCCGTGAAGAGAGATGTAACAAGGCGTCTGGATCCAAAGAATCATCGTCGGGAACCGAAACGCGACTCCATTCCGTCCCGTCGCTTTCGCCCGTCTTCTCTTCCGTCGGAAGGAGGTCGTCGTTTGTCGTCGCTCTTCCTTCCGCGGACGGCGAAACTTCTGTCGGATGCGGGTCTCCGTCGTTCTTCTCCGTCTCCGAAAGAGAGGAGGCGCCGCTTTGCTTCCGCGACGTCTTTTCTATCGTGGAGGAAGCGCCATCGATCGAGAAGTCACGATAAAGGGTCCCGTCGGAGCGAACCGATTTTTCTTCCGATAGAGGAGGAAAAGGCGGGACGGCGATACGACTAAACCCGGTTTCGGCTCGGAAGAGTTTACGAGTTTCCTCCGGAATGGGAGAATATCCAGAGTTGACGTTGCAGCGCCTACAGATGCGAGCATCGCGCTCGGAGGCTGGTCGATCCTCTGTCTCATTCTGTCTAATTCTCAGAATCTTCTCGTACAAATCCCTTCTGAAAGCGTCGAACTTATTTAGTCGAGCAACCGTCGAAACTCTCTCTTTTTCGATGCTCTCGACAGGGTAAGTGTCTGGGGGCCATCTTCGAGAGAGGGCATCGACGGGAACGTTATAAACCGCTTCCATTCGCGACTTGTATCCGCCTTCGGCCGCGGCTCCGCGCCGCAACCGGTCGTCGGGAGGATCGTCTTTCCGTCCGCCGGATGCCGGAAAGAGGCCATCTTCCGGTACGTGGCATCCGCGTCTCCTTTCGGTCAGACGTCGTTTGGCATTACCGATGGCCTGTCGTAGACGAATCAGCAGACGAGCGGCAGGGGGAGACAATCTACTTTCCGAGATCTTCGCTTCCGGCGCATCTCCTCTTCCGTTTGCTTCACCCGGAACAGCATCGACGACCTGAAAGCAACCAAAACAGTGATTATCGAGTGGAAGAACTCTACCTAGAAACTAACCGAATTGTTTGAAAAGGTAAGGAATGAAACAGTCGTTTCATTCTTTACCTTCGGGAATGTATCTTTGAAGTTATGGCAGAGGAAAAGTAACAATGCGGTAACAATCCGAAGTGTTGGTAATAACTTACTGAAAAATGGAAGAAATTCCTAGAATATTTAGCTAATGGTTTCGAATAGAAAGTTTTTAATTGTTTCGTCAGCAAATAAACAGTTTATACATAAAACAATAATTCGATGAATAACATTAAATGTAACTATAGGAGTAAAAAGGGACACTCCAACACTACTTATTTTACTATAACGTATTAAAGGCTTTACTTAAACAGTGTACGAACAGAATGTCATGACGTTGTAAATGCCATTTTTCTCTATTGAAGAATCGAATTCTAAACGTAATGTTTTCCGCTGCAAGAAAATATTTTTATGATAATAGCACTAAGTGGCTGTATAACGTTTAATTAAAATGCCAAAGTGCAAGTCGCGTAATTTTTGGCACTTAAAACTTTACAGTTTATATTTACATCATTTCGATATTCCAGAAAATTTGTAACTTAGTGAGTTTTTTACTATTTTATTGTAAAGTTGAAATGAATTCATTTACTAGAAAAAGTGCTTTTACCTTTCCTATATTGGCTATTTTGGTATTTTGGCATTTCCAACATTATGGCGTTACACGTTTCATACATGGTCGAATCGATATTATTAATTTACATACCGGATTATATATTATTAATCTTGTAAAAATTCTGTAGTTGTTTATCGCGAATTAAATGGTCTGAATATTAACAAGTTTGCCAATTTATATTATATTGCAAGTACTAAATTTGTATATTTGAGAAATTATAGTTATTCCCACCTTGAGTCTGCTGAGAAAGTTTGCTTTGCCACCTGACAATACTCCATGCAATATAGCATGCGTGACAAATGTAAGGTCGAGAAATAGAAAGCAATTCTGTCGGTAAACTTGAAACGTCACTAGTTCTGTAATCTAGTTCTCATCTTAGATCTTTAAAATACCATTAAGTTCGCTCCATGAATCCGGTTGAGGAAGATAAACACGAACCAGTCTAGTTAAAACAATTTTTTTTAAATTCATATTCTTAATTAGCGTGCTGTCCTAACTAGAAAATCAAATATATAATACTGTATTTTGGAAACGCTTTTATTTAACTGTTAAAATTTGAAAGACTGCTGTAAAGAAAACATTCGTATTCGAAACTTGTTAGATAGAAATGCATGTTCCAATAATAAAAATTGTATCAGTTCGGCCAGGGATGGCGACGACCAATTTATTTGAGGAAGAAAATGTATTTTGAATCCTTTAGACTAAATTAATTATACTATACTATATTTATATATAGTATAGTATAATTAATTTGTTTTTTGAAACCGTATCCTGTTTTATAATTCTGGCGTATTGTGTTTTATTCCAAAGACACATGGCAAGTTTTCCATCAAATTCCTTTGTTAGTTGAGTCGATAAAGAAATTTGATGGAAAACTTTCCATGTGTCTTTGGAATAAAACAAAACACTAGTGTTTACTACGCCAGTATAATTAATATTAAAGGGGATCGATACATAAAAAAGGCTGGGAATCCCTGTTATAGGAAATATCCGAACATTTTCTTGTTCGCTAACTTTGGAACTGTGCGAAGGTTTTCTACTGGAATAGAATATTCTTCATCTGTTGCTTCGATTTTTTTTTTCGTTGGAGAAGAGGGAACGTCTCAGACCTATTCGAGTAAGTTGCGTCTGCAAAACATTTTAAAATGTTTTCAGCAACGTATCTCGAGTAAATACGTCATTTCCGAATTTACGGTCGACATGGTTTATATTATTTTCCATAGTTCACCGAATTCGACATTTATTAGATCCGTTATCGTTATTTTCGTCGACAGCGGACTTTCCGCTCTCAGAAAGGAAGATGACCTTTCCATAGTCGTCTGATCCTTTTAATTCCGTTTCCATCGATACTCTTTTTTCTTTTTCGGATGTAGATATACGAGAGAAAAATGGCAGACAGATTGAACCTACCGCCGTGTCTTTCCTCGAACCTTAAAATTAAGAGGGATTGACGATTCAGGCCTACGCGGTCATACAAAACGAAAATGTTTCATTGTAATAGCCGGGACTGGCCGGATGGCCGAACGATTAAGGTGTTAGCCTATTTTTCTGGGAGACTCGGGAATTAATCCGGATTGGATGCAAAATTCCAGGAACTTTTTCGGGAAAGTCTACCCCGAATATATCATCCGACAGCTCCATTATGGGCCTGGCCGAACCTATGGTAGACTTGTTAAAAAAAAGAAAGAAAAAAAGATTCCGCAGTGCCCACAGGCGAAAAGAGTAAAAGAAGCTAGCTGGATCGAGAGTAAACCGGTAATTAAGTCCACTTTCTGACCATGTGCCGCCAGCAGTGTTAGATTACTGGCACGAATCCAAGTTCAAACCCAACCCCTGCCTATGCATTAAGCGACCGATCGTGGTTTGGTCATAGAGAGGCCACCGGGAAGATTCGTGATCGTTTTGTTTTGAAAATTTGGCATCGGTTTGTAACATAACCTAAATTACTTGGAAGATTTACTTTTAGTTTTATAAATTATTCTTATATCAAATTTACACAATAATCAAGACCGAAGTTTTCTAGGATCCTTCGAAATTACAAAACAAATTTTAATTGAGAAAATACATCTGCGCGTTGTTTAGATTACGTCCGACATAAGTAAAGGGAAATTTGATTTCTGTTTCCGGGTCCCTTTGTGTAGAACAGATTCGTTTCCCAAAAGAAAATAATTGGTCACAAGTGCGTCGAGTTGCTAGCCGACTTTCCGCCTATTTTACTTAGGGGAAATTCCCGGGCGTTCCCGACCCGGAACAGATTAATTAGCCCGAAGATATTATATACTGGTATATACTATAAAAAATATCTTTAAACATTATTATCTCAATGCTACTTTTCCCACCTATTTATCGTAAAATACTTCTCAATGTAAAAAACATGTTAAGCAGAAGCGTTTTTTTAGCATTTTTGCATTTTGTAGAGCAGTATTTTGTCGCTCTTTTTTAACACATTAAAAAAGTGCGAAAAAATTTTAACACTGAGCTTCCATCCATCACGTAAATACATAATTATGTTAATTGCATTCACACTATCGCTAATACTTCGTTGAAATTTGCTCATAAAAACGTGTAGCAGCACTATTGGCAGTTGTCATTGTATATTTTTACATTTACTATTGGCATGTGTGACGTCACTGGTTTTATTGTTGCATTTAGATGCACAAATTAATTAAATTACAGTTATCCCCCGCATAACACGTCAGTTAGGTTCCGAAAAAAAATGCTTTGTTATCCGAATCCGTGTCATATGAAACAAAGGACTAATAGTAAACAGGGTTAGGTTCCAAAAGTTAGCAAAAGTATACTGTTTTTCTTAATTAAGAGTAATATGTTTATTAAAACAATTAATAATTAACTAAAAATCGCAATCAAAAGTATTGCACGTTAAGATTAATTTTTTTTTTCACAGCTGAACACCTTTAAATGAGAACGTTTTCTTTTGGCAAAATATCGTCGTCTTCTAAACTTTCCTATTAACCTCAAGCTTAGTATCAGCAATTTCTTGATTGTTCTCGACATCTTTTCGTATTATCTGATATTTCATTTGCTAATGCGTTTGCCTAAATTATCTTTAAAAATTTAATTTTTTTTTAATGTAGTGACTTTTAATTTAATCGATAAAAACAAAACACGGCGACAGTCTTTGGGATTCATTTAGAACGCTATAATAGAATATATTTAGAACCCTACAAGGAAGCTAGAATAGGAAGCTAGGACAAGGAATAAGAAAAATTGTACTGTACAGTACACTCATTTTTTCATTAAAGAAAATCGGGCGAAAGGCACGAAACAACATTGAAAATTTTAATATTCTAAAATCAATTTTGGCAAATATGAGATAATAAGCATAATTGCTTAGATAAAAAAAATATCGAATAACGGTGTTTGGCATCTAAAAATTGTGACGTTTTGTCTGGGGATGTTTTCGAACTGTGTTAGAGCGAAACCGCGTTGTAGGAATGCGGTGTTACACGAGGGATACTGATACTTGTATTATGTTGTAAGTAATTTTGTTTATCATATATAAATACAATTTAAGTTTTAATATAGTGTTTAATGTGTAAATCATCAATTGATTACGTAATCATAATGTTATTGTAATCCTTTTGTTCCTCTCTTGGGATAAAAGGAGCAAATTTTCCTGTGCTTCTACACAACGTTTTTTTTTCATTTAATTTCTTTACGTCCGTATAATAATTTAATTTATTGTAGAGCCCCAATATGTGTTTTACCCCAGGTCCGTTATTTTGTGTGTGCCCTTGTTATGACACGAGACTCGAGAAATAGAAGATTATTATTAATGTTCTTGTCTCTGACAGAACCTAAGATGAGTCCTGCCAGAGACACGTTGGAAACGAATGGATGGTGCGGGATAGGACTGACGTATCCGGTTCAGACAATCCAGAGAAGTTTCTTGTGTTGCTCGCTCGGATTCGATCTCGGAACCCCCAGAGATATAAGCTGACTCATTAATCGCCCCAGTCATTCGGCCGTCCACGGATCAGAAAGAATATCGATAGTTCTAACGCAAAACGTTAGTTTTAAAAATGCATGCAAGCGCTCATCGCCATGATAAAATTGATCTCAGAAAAAACTATAAGTTTTTTCTAGTAACTTTGTTCCTAGTTGGATAATGTTAACTTTATGAACTCAACACGAATGGACGCCCCAAACCTTCCATCCAGCCAAGCATTTCTTTCAGAAAAAACTCTCCGTAAATTTTTCTTATCTGAGGGACAGACAAATGCAATTGATGGGTCAATTTATGTATATGTTACTGTGAATGACCGATATATGGCTAATATCAACATTCTCCGGTGAATGTTGATATTAGCCATACATTCACACAGTCATTTCGCGTATGTACAGTACAAACTATTTGCTAAATATCATTATTTCTCACTTACACCGGCAAATGTCGACATTCAGCATGCACTGATAGTGAATGTTGAATAAAAATATTTTTATTACATTAAGACAAAAATGCAACTTTTTAATATGTCAAAATAGGAGAAAGCTTAAGTAACAGCACATGTAAATAAACTATTGAACCTAAAACGAACAGTACTGTACATTCTTAATCAGAAAAGGAAATAATATAATAATAAACTTACACGTAAATTATGTATACAATCTTATTTATTACAACAACTTAAACTGTTATGGCACTTTGAATTGCACAAGAGTCCCTTGCTTTTACTACTGCAATTATTCGTGGAACACTTCTTTTTTCAATGACAGCGTGTATAGCCTTGCCCTCCACTTTTCGAATTACTGTAGCTGCAGCTGCTTCTCTCGGCGATATTTCTTGAGAAGAAATCTCATCTATGGAAAGTAACTTTTCTTTACAAATTACGAACTGATTACGGGTATAACGCTTCTTGAGGGTACCATTTTTGTTTGCTAATTTATAAAAGTCGGAGTCTTCTATTCCAACAACAAACGTCAACACATTTCGGGCATCTGTACGGCCACGGTCGACATCAGGGACTTTTATTCGTATGGTATCACCAATTTGAGCAAAAGGAAACGGCGAAGAATTTGGCGAGACTGTTGCCTTTCTGTCGACATCGGCTTCTCGGATGTCGTTTCGACCTCCACCAAAGCTAATCTGTGCTTGTCATCATACACCGGCGATTGTTCGAATGTATAAGAATATAACCAAATATTCGGTCTTTCACCGACGTATTTTGCATGTGTCGACATTCACCAAAGAATATCGACATTCTCTAATTTCGGTCTTTCACAGTATCACAGTAACACACACACACACACACACAAGAGAGAGAGAGAGAGAGAGAGAGAGAGAGAGAGAGAAGCAGGTGGCTCATGCGTCTGATATGAGGGTGCTATCGCAGGATGGCATATGGCACTCAACTCTAAAAAACTCGTTTTGATTTCGTATAATGTTTTTATCGGCACTAGTTTTCATTAATTTTAAATCAAAATTAATGTATTTATCAAAACCGGTCGGAGGGCGTCCGACTTCCGCTCTATATCGGTCGGAAAATACGATTCGAATCGAGTCTTTTCTGTTCCTTCACTCTCAACGCTTTACCGTAGGAGGATGAGCGACCACTGAGGCAAATGTCACTTTGTGTCGGTGGTCGCTCATCCTCCGCGCGTAATCATAATCATTCGATAAACGAATAGAAAATGTACAGTACAAACAGCACGTCATAACGAATGAACCTTCTCGGTTCTCCTTCTCCTTCCGGTTCATTCGTTATTCGGTAGGTTAAACGCTAAAGACCATCGACTGTTCAGAGGCACGAGGTGAACGGCGTTTCCCGTCTGTCGGTCTTCAGTTAATAGGAAGAAGGAAGAGAGATCGTCCCACTTTCTGACCCGGACGCCGTCACGACCGGTCCATACCCGTTGGAAATAATCGGTCGGGTAGGTTCTCCGAAATTACCCGTCTCAGCGTGTCTTCCTAGTATCGATGTCTTTATCGTCGAATGGATCTCCGAACCCCATCCACCTGCAACGCTCTTCGCCTCAATCATTCGCAAATACTCCGCTCGTTAAAAAACGAAGATGAAATGTCAGAAATGCATTTAGATTTGCCTTTACGGAATGGATTATGGCACTTGGTTTTTCCCCTCCTCCTCGAATCTCCGCTACTTTAGTCGGAAACTTCCATAAATATTTATTCATTCTTTTATTTAATTGACTCGCCAATCCCTTAAGGTCTATCCTTAAGGTCTGTTGTAAACGTTCCTTTGAGACATTTTGATGAGACAAATACATATAAAAAGTTTTATATCTTACGCGTTTAGTTTTAATATTTATAATTAAAATTTAGTTATTGTAAAAAATACATTAAAATTCGATGTTTTCCGAAAACAATTGTAAGAAATTTACGTGAATTATATAACTCGTAATACCTATTCATAAAAAAAGAAACAGAATTTATACATAACTATTTCCTATTATCATAATTCACACCATTAAAAATATATTTGAAAAAGATTTTTATAACTGCTTCAATTCTTTCATTCGAAAGTGCAATATTATTAACGAATATCAATTTGGGGTTAGCCAGTGCATATAAAGAATACATGCACTGGCTTTCTATCACCGTAATTTAACTATTAATTTGGAAAACTTGTTATTTTATGTCACTGTTTCTAGTGACTTATCAAAGGCTTTTGATTCAATAACTTGGATCTACCTATCTTGAGACTAACTCTACTCTATCGATATGAACTCGGCTCATTGTGGAACTTTATGGTATAAAGCTCTGGGGAAGAGCCCTAAAGCTCTATAAAAATGTTTTAATGAAACATTGAATAATACGTTTTAATGAAATTACAAACAACGCAGAACGTGGAGCTTTTTTAATTACGATCAATTTTCTTCGTCAGTGTAGCTAACGAGCAACACATGATTAATAACATTGGCCTTTTATATACTAAGCAACTAATTACATTTATGATCAAATACGTTTACGATTAATATGATGATACCTCTTTCATCTATAGTTGTCTTAATTCTTAAAAAACTTTCCGCCTTTACTTGTAATAGATTTAAAAATGACTTCTTATTGCCGAAATGTATAGTAACTTATCTACTGGAAAAAACTCAATTATATTGTTAACGAAGAATTTTCTTACTTCTACATTAATTTATCTCCCGACAATGGTGAATCCAGAAGTATCCAAAAGGGGTCAACCCAAAAATTAATTTAAAATATTTCAATAATTAATAAATATCTTTTAGTAACATGTGAATGACGATTGTATTGCATGATCCAATCGTCAAACAATATAAATGTTTTCAAAGACAACGTTTTGAAATTCGAACAAATAAATTTTATTTTCTTTTTCTGTCGATGAGGAGGGCTTAAGCCCCTTGTAACCAGTGGTGGATTAAGATCTTCCAGGATCCTTAGGTACAGAAGATTGGAGGGCCTCCACATAATTTTACGACATCATAAACTAACAATGTTTAGTTGTAGTTATAGAATGTAATGTAGATGTAGTTAAGAATTACAATTGCAATAGTAAAATTGCTTTATTTTTAACTTCCGAACCTGTACACGTGCTCATGTGTCTAATTAGCAAACTAGCATTGGGCATTAGAACCTCTTCAAAAACTTATAATCGAGCTTTTACTGTACTGTACTTCTAAAATACATTAAGAGTCTAATTTTGAAAGCAGAATAGTAATATATGCGCAAAACTACTTAAATATATAATATCCAAAATACTCATATATACATTCAATTAAACTATATTTTTCCTTTTTGCTCTCGGACCCTTTCGGGATCCTAGGCTTAAGACTACTCAGCTTAACTGTCACTGCCTGTAGCCCTTCCCTCGTATCCGTCTTTCTCCAGAACACCCAAAATTTGGTATTTTTCCGAGCTGCGTTTTGAAATCTATGTCTTCCCGTTCGAAACTCTGCCGCATTCCGAAGAAGGAAAGAAGCGCCAAAGAGGATTCTTACCTGAGGACTGGGTCTAGGGGATATTGCTTCCGAGTCTTCGGATTGAACAGGGAATTTTCCTCGAGTTCTGGGAGGTCTCCTACGTAGTTTGAGGTATACAAAGAGTGCCAGGACATAGGTGAAGCCCAAAATTCCCAGACATAATCCTACAATGACGAAAGAGTTCCTCTTGTTTGCCTTTTGCTCGGCGACCCCTCCAGCTGCAAAATAATCCAAGCAGATCAGAGATTTACAAATGAAGCTTTAAACAAGTTTAAAGTAAATTTAAGGAGTTCTTACCGGCCCTGGTCCATCCTACCCTGAATGCAACGCAGGGTTCCGGTGAAGTGGGATGGGCTTCGGAAGGACATCGCAATCGAAGAAGGACAAGCTTATGTTGTAGGAACGATCTGTCTTCGTCACTTCCACGCCACTAAAGAAAAACGATTTTCATTCATTGTATTCGTGCGATAACTAGAAAAAGGAGTATATTTCCAATCGAACGAGGCCTTACCTTTAGCAGCGTCTTGTTTCCGTGAGGAAAGAGGGCGAAGGGACGTTCTTCTCCCCGGCTCTCCAGGGGCATCCAGTCTTGGCTGGTCAAGTATTCGATACTGGTAACTTGGCACAATTCTGAAACGATAACCGCACGTTAACGGATGGAAAAAATTATTTTCCGAAAGACTCGAAAGACTCAAGTCGAGAGTTTCCGTCCGAGAAATTTTAAGAATTTCGAATCAAGAAGAATAAAAATAAGAAAGTACACTGAAAGACGGAACAAATTTTGTCTTTCGGTCTTACGTTAATTTCGACTTACAAACGGCTGGGGATCGCCAGTTGACGAGTGGTTAAAACCACTGAATTTGGGCGTGGGTTCGCGCCTCGCCAAAGGGCTGGCCAGGTAGAGTTTTCCGGGTTTCTTTATGTCAGTAGGAGAAGGAAAATGTTACAAATGGAATATTCGTTTGCCATGGTCATGCCTGATCGGAAATAGAAGAGGGAGAAGCGCCTCCAAAAGCGTTATTTCGGGAGGAAGAAGAAAAGTATGAAACGAGGCGGTCGAAGAAATTTCCGTATCAGGAGATTGTCGATTAATTCCAGAAAGGTACAATACTGTACGTACTTCCAAGTACCTAGGTCTTGTCGCCCCTGAAAGAATTCGAATTCGAATGTGATGCTACGCAAAATTTAGTATTTTTAATTATTAAAAAAACTACAATAAATACTATAAATATCTATCCTTTTTGCCTCCATTTTTTTAAATCTCAATATGTAATCAGTGTAATCGGTATTTCTAAATATTTCGTTAGGAAGATGTTTGTTTTCTAAGGTAGTGTGCAACATTTCAGGCTTTACTATAAAGAGGTTGCCCCGAAATATAAAGAATTGAAAAGTGCAAAAAATCGCTAAAAAAGCTGTATCTTCTATTCTTCATCCGGCACTGCATACGTTCCTAAAGAAAAACTACTGGATCTAGAAATCTCAAATTTTAAACTTAAGATTTTCTCATTATTAACGAAGTGTTTGTGAAACTTTCGGGTCGATGGGTAAAAGTTCATGGGTTCCCCTTAGATCTATTTTAGTTTTATCGCTTAAGAAATTAAAGAAATGGATAAAATTGAATCGAAACGAATGATTTTCATTCAAAATGTTATCCAGAATAGCAAAAGCTCAAATTTATTGGACTTCAATTTGAAAAAATTGTAGACCTATAAATTCCCACTGTCGTTCGTCTGTCCGTCTGTCTTTCCTTAATCTCGATAACAGAGTTAGATAGGTGAAAGACGAGACCAAATATAGAAAGCTTAGGGGTAGAAGGCCCTGATTAACTGTATACGGAACGTCCGATACAAGGAGAGAGTTGTGTTATTTTAATTTAAGACTTTCCGTGAAAGCAGTTAATAGAAAACCAACACGACTCTATTGTTAAAGGAAAAGTATGATGTACAGGGGCAAGACACTACAGTACTAATTTGAGGTGGAGAGCATATATTTTGAATTAAATAAGTTAAAACTATGATTAAAAATTGCAGCCCGGCGTTGTGATAATGCCAAATAAATAATTGCTCGTTGCAATCTGCATAAGTATGTAATTCCACGCAATTTTGTCGCATTCAAAATTAATTTACGCAAATTCAGAATATACTTTAATATATTTTATCTAAGATGTTATTGCTTCTTAATTAATTAAGGACTGCGATATATATATAATTTTTATTTCACCAAAAATATAATTTTTGGTATAGGCCTATATATATATCTTTGGTGAAATAAAAATTATATCGTCCGCATACATAATAATTTTTTAATATCTAATAATCATCATTATCAATGTTGGCATTACAGGCCTTGATAGACCTTTAGCCGCAGCCACGACCTTCCTCCAGTTTATCCAGTCGATAGTAATCTTCCGCCAATCTTCCAACCCTATGTCTTTAAGATCTTTGGTGATTTCTCCTATTCACTTTTTCCTAGGGCGTCCTTTCGGTCGTTTTCTTTTCACTTCATAGTTCAGTCTCTGTGATGCTGTTGCTGTTATATGTTGTCTTCTGACCTGTCTGAGTCATTGCAATCTTTTGGCCTTGATTATCTGTGACCAGGAACCTGCCAAAGGAGGTTTTTAACTCCTGATTTGTTGTTCTCCTCCAGACTGGTACGCCACCGATCCTGTTGTCAATGCAAAAACGTTTTCTGTAATACTATTGGATACCAGCGGAGATACTTGGCAGCAACTAGAAGTGACAATGGCAGCTGAAGCAAGTGATTTCTGTTCAAACGACAAAGGATGTTTGTCAATACGATGCAGAATATAACAAATTCCTAGAAGATAATGTGTCGTAACATCTCATCTGCAGCTGAGTGCAAGAACTGCTAAAGTGCACAAGGCTGACTATTCGTTAAATTATCTTGTACAACAGGATCTCTTGAAAACAGGAACTTCGATGGTTGTCAATAGTGTTATACTGGACTCAATAACAGGCTAAACAACTGACTGATTGTAATATTTAGGTTAAGTTAGTTTTTAATTAAGTTAAGTACTTTTATTTTGTTTATTTTAAATATGTGTAAATGTATAAATATATCTGCTTATTTCTGTTTAGTAAGTTTGTACAGTACATATGTATAAATATAATGTTACGCGAATATATAACATCATGTAACATCATAATATATATGCAATACTATATGTATCATATAAGTAATATAATATGTACTATAATATGTAACTGTACAGGAAAACTCTCAGCTATGTATCATACGGTGCTGAGAATGCACCAATTGGTGCTAAATAAAGAATATTGAGTAATTGAGTAATTGATCCTGTTGTCATCACCACTACCATCTATAACATAGATTCTCCTTAATATTTTGTTTTCGAATCTCTGCAGTCGTAGTTCATCCTATTTCGTCACTGTCCATTTATTACATCCATATAGTCGCAGATCTTATAACTTTCTCATAGACCGTTAGTTTGGTCTTCCTGCCTAGTAGTCTGCTTTTTAGTATGCTTGTGAGACCTGTTTCCCATCTGAATGAGGATCCCTATTTCCTGTTTGATGTCACTGTTTCCGTTTAATTCAGATCCTAGGTATTAAAAAGTCTTCGCAGATCTGAATGTCATATTAGCAAGGTTGCGACCGAAGTTTTCATCTCTAAAACGTGAACGTCGAACGTCGAGCGCCGCTTACAAGATAGCGACGCTCGACGTTCGACGTTCACGTTTTAGAGATGAAAACTTCGGTCGCAACCTCTCTATTATGTACAGTTAAGTGTTCATTCATATTGCGGGAGTGTCCTTTCCTGAAGATCACCGTGTATTTAGTCTTCTCTTCATAGATGACCAAACCAAGCTCCTGGCTGCAGTTGCTAAATTCCATGCTAGTGTTTTCAACTATCCTTGGGATTCCTCTATTAAGACGATGTGGTCCGCATATGCCAATAGTGATAATTTTTCTAATGTTCCAAATTTATTATCAATCTCTTGAGTTATTCTTATTACTTTTTCTAGTGCGACGTTAAAAAGGAAAGGTAATAGGGCACCTCTCTGTTTCAATTCCAATTTAATCACGTGGCCTCAACTTTTACTGTACACCATATATCTTCTATACACAATTCTGCAATTCTGGTAAGCTTGTACGAAACTTCAAACTCCATGACATCCAAAACTGATTGTTAGTAGATGCTGTCATATGCCTTTTGATAGTCGATGAATAGTAGGTTGTGCCGACATTGAATTCCCAGTTATTTTCGAGTACCTGTCTTAAAGCAAAGATTTGATCAGTCATGGATCTATTTTACCGGAAGCCCGTTTAGTATTTGCCCACAGCTCCCTCCAAAAAATTTCATTGGCCGCAGAAAAATATTTGACCGTACTGAAGCTGGCATAATTGATTACGGATGACATTTAAATAGTAATCTAGAGTTACTAGAGTACAATCTAGATTACAATAACTCTAGATAAACATATATAAGCTTAATTAATAAATAAGCATAATTCATAGTCGCATATAATTATGCTTATTTATAATTATCTATAATTTTACGCGTAATAAATAATTATACGCGACTGTGAATTATGCTTATTTATATTATCTATTAATTTTACCGTCCAATAATTATCTATAATTTTACCGGTCTGCGATGTGAAAAATGGTTTGAAAAAACACTTGTCTGGTTCAGTACAATTGCGTTAAAATACAATATTCCAATATAAATTTATTGCTTTCACAGAGTTCGTTTTATAATTCGATTTCCATGGGTTAAATGATCTTTCTTGTTAAATAACAACAAATTTTGTCTTTGAACCATAAACAAACATCTATCTGGTATAAATTATTATTTATAATATTCTACAAATGTGGAATGTGGAATTGACGATTACATTAAGGATGAGTGTAATTTTGGATTTTAAAAATGAATTTTTAAAAATCCAAGGAATTTACTTATTCGTTGAAAATTAATGAATCAGATTTTCAAAATTCTAAATCCTGGTTAATAGTAGAACTAGAAGTATTCTAACGCACAAAACGGTTTGATTCTATCTGCATCTGTTTTCAAGAACTTAAGGATTTTTCCAAAGAAAACAGCATTATTTTTAACGCCGTCTTCAAGAGATCTTGTGCATAGCCAAAGAGATTACAATTAGCCTTAAAGATTACATTAATTTGGTGGTCAAACACTGCTCTCAAAGGATAAATCCATTATGTTTATGACTAATATACTCTCCACAGTCGATGTAACGCGGCCCAATACAAAGTCAAATCGCTTAACGAACTAATTTTCAATTTCGCGTCTTTCGAATTTGAAAGAAATCTTTATCACTGAAAAAATTAAAGTATAAGATTGTTCTCCATTTTCTTAATATTACTGTAAAATGTAAATTCTGTATTATATAACAAAAATTAAATTTTTTAATCCCTCGCCCACGTCATATACAGTTTGTGATGCGTTTTAATAATGAAGAATTTTAATCGAGATTCCGTCGAGTCTAATCACAGTATTCACTGACAAGTGGTCTACTCGAAAGGAATTCCTCCATCATTAATGTCAAAAGAATTCCTTAGAAGTATAAATATTCATCAAATCCGCTCACTATATGAATATCAAAACAACTTAAATATCGTTCCGTGTTTAATTGATAAAGATGGTAATGTTTTCCAAATATCTTTCTCGACTTCCCAAATTATTGTTGATATTTCCCATTCCTTAAGAATAATGCCATATATAATTTTGCCAGTAACTCGCGCTCGAATAATAATGATACAAAAAATTAAAAAAAAACAAAAAAACAAGTTCTTCGCCTACAAACTACGTAATCTGATTCGAATTCTGTACAGTCAGACCGACAATAGGAGGGGACCAGTTTATACCCTCGACCGCCTTCTCCTTATCTACCTGCCATACTCCTTCATAATTAAGTCATTGTAATTTTTTCTCACTTTTTTGCATGGAAAATTTTTAAAATAACAATAAATCGNATGTTTTCCAAATATCTTTCTCGACTTCCCAAATTATTGTTGATATTTCCCATTCCTTAAGAATAATGCCATATATAATTTTGCCAGTAACTCGCTCTCGAATAATAATGATACAAAAAATTTAAAAAAAATACAAAAAACAAGTTCTTCGCCTACAAACTAAACTGATTCGAATTCTGTACAGTCAGACCGACAATAGGAGGGGACCAGTTTATACCCTCGACCGCCTTCTCCTTATCTACCTGCCATATTCCTTCATAATTAAGTCATTGTAATTTTTTCTCACTTTTTTGCATGGAAAATTTTTAAAATAACAATGAATCGACTATTTTCCATTTGCAACGACGCAATGCCAATTATTACTTCGCCATTAATAAAATACAAATAAATTAAAACATATTATGGCCGTTCGGAACATCTCCAAGCTGTGTTTACGACGATAAAACCGGATTGGCTCGGTCGGACATCGACCCGGTCGAACTTTTCTCCCCTCTTCGTTCCTCCCTTCGGCGGGAAGATATCTTTGTAACACGGCCAAAAAATTGGTCCTTTCGGCGCGGAAGAGGACCGAACTTTTTCTATTCTTTGCCGTAATTATTTGTCTAAAGGAAACATCTGGATAAACGCCTTTTTAACGCACAATATGTACTATAATATGTAACTGTACAGGAAAACTCTCAGCTATGTATCATACGGTGCTGAGAATGCACCAATTGGTGCTAAATAAAGAATATTGAGTATTGAGTATTGAGCTCNAGCTGTGTTTACGACGATAAAACCGGATTGGCTCGGTCGGACATCGACCCGGTCGAACTTTTCTCCCCTCTTCGTTCCTCCCTTCGGCGGAAAGATATCTTTGTAACACGGCCAAAAAATTGGTCCTTTCGGCGCGGAAGAGGACCGAACTTTTTCTATTCTTCGCCGTAATTATTTGTCTAAAGGAAACATCTGGATAAACGCCTTTTTAACGCACCTCCTTAATGAACGCAAACGAAAGAATGAATTCTATATCCCCCAGAAAAATTCTCTCGCTACCTTGCGCGCGCTTCGAAAGTCGAAAAAACGAAGTTTAAGATAAAGGCGAAAGTCTTTAGTTTATACTAACTTAGGAGAAAGGAGTTGGAGTAGATGACTGGCGGAGGAGAGCTGAAAATGCGGAGATTAAGGACGAAAGGTGCTCACCTGGAACGGAGAGACGGGCACCCGGTCGGACAGGGTGTCCGGCCGGAGGCAGGAATACCAAAGGGATCTTCTCGCTGCCGAAGGGTCCGACGAAGGCCACTGTCGAACACTCTGAAAAAAATCCGTTCTCTCAATCTTCCTTCCGCGGACGAATCGGAAACGAAAAAGACGAAGAAACTTACCGGCTAGATCTCGGACGCATTGTTTCCGGTCTTCCCTGAAGGTGCGGAGGGTGGGGGCGCACTGACACAGGCACGAGTCTTCCCATAGACGGGCGGCCCTCCTCCCGTCTCGGTCGCAACCCTGCCCCCGACAAGACTCCTGGTCCAGGACAAAAACGTCACCCGAGTAATCCCTGGTCACCGTCTCCTCCGCGCCGCACCGCGCGGTCCACAGCAATTGCAGAAGACAGACGGCTGCCGTGGCTCTCCTTTCCTCCCCGGTCCGCATCCTTTCTAAAAGAGAACGACGACATTATTAACTCTCTCTATACGAATTTTCGCGCAGTTGCCAACTTTCATCTTCCCGAGTCGGTTATTTCAGGAATTCTAGATTATTCTCGAAATTCCCGGAAAAATACTGGCGCGTTTTTTTTTCCTTCATTCGAGACGTGATTTCCCGAGAATCTCAATTCAAAAGTTTTCTGTAGAAAAAATTAAGGTGTTGCCCAGTTCTAGAACCGGCGACTTCTTTTATCTGAAAGGATGGAATTTCGTAACCGAAGGAAGATTTAAACGTGTATTCGAAACCGGAATTACGAAAGCATAAAGTATTCGAATACTTTATGCTTTCGCTTCGTTTAATTTTCCGGAAAATGGAGAGAGACCACCACTTTCCCATCCGTTATTTTTCGTTTACTTTGCTGTAGACATTCCGCGTTAAGATTTTCTTAATGTTATGTGAAAGCGGAATTCGATTCGCATAGTTCCTATTCCCACTAGCCTTTACTTTACGTCCCACCAACCCGAACCTGATTACCGTTTCACCGCTCTATTTTACGCCGTGCCTTAGGCCGATAGATTTTCCATTCACTACATTTTCTTCTCTTCTCCGAGCATTTTATCATAAGAAACTTTCGTCGGTCGGTCCTAGGTGGAATTCAATGTTGTCATTTTCTCATCCTTTTCCGTTTCTCTAATGAAGGCAGAGAAACGGAAAAACGCCATCTACTCGGATCCTAAAAAATAGGGATTTTATGCGTTCGGATGCCGGAAATATCTTCCTTTCATCCGACCTCGTTGGCCTCGGGTCTTTGGCTGCGCCGAATTTCCGCCATATTCTTCGTTCGACCCAGAAAAGAGTTCCCGAGGAGGGGGCGGAGACGGTTTCCAGCGGAAGCGGACACCGTCCGAAATCGCGCGTTTTCTACATCCGTCCGTGTCACTAAACTTCAGAGTGGCCAAGCCGACTTACCCGGGAAGATTGGTTCCGAGACGTCTCCTAACGGATGCCGAAGGTGCTAGAAGAAACCTCTCCCGATAGAAAAAAGTTTTCGAAACGTCTAAAAGGGGACGAGGAGCGAGTGTCGGCCCCGCCGACGCCGTCCTTCCCGTCCGCGACCCAAGACGCGACTGACTCGCTCTGTCGGCGCCCGACCGGTTCCTTCGACCCCGTCTTCCCTCGGAAATCCGGCCGCCGACCCGCACGACGCGCCTTAGCGGCCGCGCGCGTCTAATCCTAGAGACGATGGCGTTGTCTTTCCGGAAGAACGAACGCGGCGCGAAGTCACTCCAGCGTGACGACTCTTGTTTCTTTCTCGACGTGCCGTCCCTTTTTCGCTAGCCATCGACTTGACGTCCTTAGAAGAAACATCGGAATGAAAACTCCTCTCGTTTTTATTTTTGTTTGCTGTAAGACGGTGGCTGGAAAATCGAGAGAAAACTTATTCCGGGACGCATCTTTCGGCAATTATTATTAAATGGTTCCGCTTCGTCGCCTTTTCGTAAGTAATTATCGCCAGTAGAGGCGCGAGGAATCGGTCCGTCGGGCGTTAATTCGGAAGGTCGAAAGCCCCTCGTTTTAATGATGCGCTAATGACGATTTCTCGTCGGGTGGTCCGTCGAAAGATTTTGGAAGGAGGCGCTTTTTCTTTTGTCGTTAATCGACCGAACAAACGGTCACCTTGGCTTGGGCCCGATCGAACTTTGCAAATTCCGCAAAAATATACTGTACCGTACCTCGGTCGATCGGCTGTCTACAACAATTTAAATAAATAAATAAATAATAAGCACCGAAGGTGGCTTCGGAGGATAAAGGTCGAATTACTTCGTGAGGCCGAATGATTCATCGATACGGACGGTCGTAATTATATGGGCATTCCCGTCCAAAACTGCTATAGTTTACAGCAAAATAAGCTGGAAGAGAACAGGAAAGAAAGTGCTTAAAGTGGTAATCGGCGAGGACTGCGAAGTGGAAAAGTCCAATGCTCTATAAATGGGTTTCTAATGGCGCGTTATTAATTGTAATGGCAAAATATTTCGAAAAATGCGAGTTAAATTTACGAGTAATTTAACCTGTCAATTTAATCTCTTATTTATTTATTACTTGAAATTTACAAATATTAACACATAATATCGAATAAACGCGCAGGGTCGATATAGATTCCGTCTTTTTACAAACGAAAATTAACCGGCCGTTAATTATCGCCAATAAACTGAACACGGTGGCGTCCACTTAATAGCACTGATTATTAGAGTAGTCCGTTTAAACGAGCGCCGTATCGGTGGCATTTTTACAGCAGAAGACCACACAAGGAAGATTTATAAAGGTCTGTCTTTAATCTTACGGTACAGTACCTGCATAGTACAAAAGATTGCCATCCAGATGACATGACGACAGACTTTATACACTATGGTAGCCTATATGTTATATAGAGATTTGGTGAAACCTTCTATTGGTCAACTTTAAACAGACCATCAAAAAGTTTCTTATAGAATCATAACGAATAGGTTTTATTGGACACACATATGAGAATGCACGTGAGAAAAATCTAATTCCTATGGTAGACTAAACGATTATTTTCCTATTCTACGTTAAAATTTTTACCTTTGCGGCAAAATTAAGAAATATACAGTATATATAACAATCTTAAAGAGTGTTTTTGTGATAAAAATAAAAACCATCAATTTTAGGGGCGCAATTAGAAAAAATTCTTACTAAACACTTAGGAGTAAATGGATAAAAAATTCGGGAAAGATTTCTCAGTGACTTATTTAATCATTCGGTTAAGCGTTTTCGAGATGTTTACATTGAGACAACGATTCTACGTAATAAGAACCACGAAAATGTTGTATGGATAGTTTATTATGAGTCACCGATAAACCAGTTCACATAAGACGATTTTTAGCCGAACATCCGTAGTTAGGACTTCGAATTAAAAAATTTTTTTCCAACCGATTCGAGTTAACCACGTTCCACTGTAACTTATATTGTTTAACATAGCAAAAATTACCGTTTGTAATTAATATAGTTTATACTCGTATTTATACAGAGATTGTAGTGTTGTTTATCTCTGTGCAAAATAAAAATACATAATTAAAGTCATTTGTGGAAATAGCAGAAAAATTTATCATATTAGAACAATATTAAAGCGTGCTACTGGCACCAGCACTACCCGCAGACTATAAAAAAGGAGACCCTGGCTAAAAACAGAGAATCGTACGTATATAAACTTATATATATATTTACAGTATTTATACAGCTAACCCTTGATTAACGCAGTTAATTAATCCCTCGATGCTACCACGTATTGTATATCAAAATCACGTTAATCAAATACAGTGATACTTCGGTACTCGACCGAACAATCACGACCCACTAGAACAAATTTTCGGTTAATAACAAATATTTTAATTTTAATTTTGTGATTAGTAAAAATGTTTTCTGTGATAAAAATGAGTAAGTAATTTAAAAATAAAATAAAACTTTCGAGTTTCCTTGGGGATTAGAAAAGGACAATCCGACGACAAAAGGGGGGACGTGCCCCAAGTGCTTCAATATATGGGATCCCTGATTGGCGTGTATTTATCATGGAATTTTTTGTTGCTGTTCTTCTTATTCTTCTTTACTTTTTCGAAAGTAAAGTTCTGAATCTTTTGCAAATTAGGCTAAATGATAAAAATATAACAAAAAATATTAATATACATGACTAGGGCCTCTCAATTGGCATTGTCAAAATAATTTTCATAGAAAAGATTTCGTAGCTTAGAACAAACAGGTATGCAGAGTTCGACTTTCTTCTTCTCAAGCATATTAAGGTAGCACATTTATAGTAACCTTTCTAATGGCATCAAATCAAAACTATACTTGTCCATGTCAGTATTTTTTGTTGATCTTTCAGTATTCTTTTTACTCGTGGACTTCACAGGCCCTCCACAAGTATCCATCTCGTTGATGACCACATACATTAAAAAGAAAACGAAAATTTTTTTATTTTAAGACATTTAAAATATTTTTTAATATATCGGATGATTCAGAAATCTTTTGACATAGCAGTCATTTGTGTTACTGTGTTAATAATAAATATGTGAAGTGAATAACAAAAACAAAAATAAAACAATCCATACTAAATTTTTAAAACTTCAGTTCGCTATTATATTAAAAAATTAAAAAAACTTTTCATTCTTGGCACTACAAATGGCTACTACGTCGAAGAATTTCTGGATCATCCGGTAGATTAGAAGTGAAAATATGATATTATTTCTGACCAGTAATTATCAGTATTTGTTCTCTTTACGACACACTTGCTAGCTTTGCAGTACAAAATAATAACTATTTACAGAGTAATCAATATCATTAAATATAATTTATTGTTATCTTTATTCGTACAGCTTCTAGTCTTTTTTTTCTATTTAGGATTTTATTCTTTTATAGCTACGTAATTTTTAGCTATTAATCCGGACTTATCATACCACAATTTCTGAGGAAACTTAACTTGTTTGTTTTCTTTTTATTTATTAGTAAAATCTAAACACCAAGATGTATTGTACTGTACATTTCGGGGTTTTTTTTTTATCCTTCTTCAGTTGGAATACTACATTTGGGTCTAATAATTGTGAATTATAGTACAAGACAATCTGTTTATAAAATTGTACTGTTAAAAATGAAGAAAATCTTGTTTAATACAGAAAAATGTTTTAAAATTTTAAATTAATGTAAATTAAATTTAAAATTCCGTTTAACAAAATATAAGTAACGTTGTATGAAAAAGTTCTTTATTATATAAATTCTATTAGATCCAAATGTAATGAACCAACTGAAGAAGGGTAAAAACCCGATATCTTAGAGCAGGGGTCGCCAAACTTTTTTGATCGTTCACCCTCTACAACTTTTCAAAACCTCACATCGACCACACCAAAAAGTTTGTTACAAGCAGAAAAAAAAGAAAAAAAAAAGCTCTTACTATTTTAATATATATCTTTTAATTTTACATTTTTTACATAGGTTAATAATAATTTTTGTAACTGACAATCAATGAAACGATAATCCTTGATAATCCTTGGCAAGATTAACAATATTCAATTCAAAATTTGTAAGTTTTAAGTCTTTTCATCGACCCCCCAAAAATGTTATATCGACCCCTGAGGGTCGATATAGACCACTTTGGCGACCTCTGTCTTAGAGTTTACTAAGAAATAAAAGAAATAAAAAACCTAAAAACCTAAGTTTCCTCAGAAATCGGTATGGTATGATAAGTCCGGATTAATAGCCGAAAAATACATAGCTATAAAAGAATAAAACCCTAAAGAAAACAATTTATTGTAATTTAAATATTTTATTTATCATTGTATAAAAGAATTTTTATTCTTCAGATAGCTAAATAATTTATTTAGATTTTAGAGCAAACATATTAAAAAATTCCATCATACATCATGTGCCAATAGTAAGTTCATTGCAAAAAATATTTAAAACAAGCCAAAAAATTCGGATTTTACATAAAACTGTGATCTGTTTCTTGTTATTTTATATAACTTTAATAGTAGTTATAATAGTTAATAATAGTTTAATATAACTTTATTGGAATGAAAATTAATAACATATTTGCAAAAAATTTGTAAATACAGTAAACAATTGTTAATATGTGTTTATGGTAAAAGAAGTTATCCTCGAGTCATATTTTTATGTTTCTAAGAATCATAAAAATAAAAATCGCTTAATTGTGCTAATGTTAAAATGACAATTTAAGTTATTGCATTTGCAAAATATAGCTACAGTATGCGTGGACCAAAATTAGCCGCGAAGTATGATAGATAACAGGCAGCTATCGCAAAACTGTGACATTCATTTTTGATTACTTGGGAAAGGTAACGTGTGTGCTTTCTTTTCTTATTTATCGTTCCACCTCTAAATTGCCATTCTTTGAAGGTATTAATTCTTATGAGTCTTTGACATTGGTATCCTGGATTGTGGTTATCATCGCGAACTCGCTCATTGCAGTTAGGCCGACATTGCTCGACACACTCGAAATAGGCAGATTATGGGCTCCCT